CGGGCACCGCTCCCGGGCACCGGCCCCTTCCCCGCGGCGGAGCTCCTCTCCCCCCGTACTAAACCCCCCCCCCCCAACCCGGGACTGCCCCCGTTTTTCTCCTTTTCCCCTTAGAAGCGACCGCTTTGAGGAGTTGTCTGCGTTTCAGAGCGGTGCCCCCCCGCGCCCCCCCGGTACAGGCGGGGTGCGGGGTGGAGGGAGCCCCCGAGGCCCCAGACGGGCTCCGGGCATCGCGCTTGGCCACCGATTAAAAACCTCGCAGGGTCAAGTACAAAGCGTAACGCAATAAACCCCATAGGGTGAAGGTGGGGGAAGGAAACGCAAAAGCGGTTCTCAAATAACGTCAGATGCATCTGATGAAAACCCCCATACGGTTCGTCCTACGGGGCTGACTATGTCGAATTTTAAGCGTTTCTCTTGCATGAAACAAAGCCCTGCGTGGAGCCGGTGGCTGGGTAACAGCAGGGTCGGACCTCGCACCTAACTAGTAGAAATCTGTCCTTACTCTTCCCGAGTTGTTAAATCAAGGTGAGGTCACAAAAAGAAAGGGTCCGTAAAGTTACCAGCAGCTCCTTTCACGTCATCTTTCCCCTTTCATGGAAAAAATCACCAGCTAGCAGAGATTATACCAAATCCCACAGTCATCCGGAGTTAAAACTCCCACCGCTGTTCAGGAGGGCTTTGCGTGCAAAAATATTTGTATTGCCTCTTCAGTGTAAATATCTTAGCTATCATCCTGATACTTTCTGCATGTTGTAAGTAACTGTGGGGCTTACAGCTAACTTGAGTGGGAAATAGGCCAGACGCTTATGTTGTATCTCTGCTTTTTTCCACTGTTACACTCGGCATTGTAGATCAGAGCCTTATGGGGCTCAGGGAACTTTGGCTCTACCATTTCTTATGCTGCCGTGACTTTAGCCCCCTACGTTTCGAACGCAGAGTCTCGAGCCCTTCCCTCTCGGCGCCTTTCTTCTGTAATCATAAACTATCCTGCCTCTGGGCGCAAGCGAAGCAAATACCTGCTGTAGAGACCAGCCGCTCTTCTCGAGCTCAAGCGTGCCGAGCTCCACGAGCTGCTCCTTTCTTTGCTTGCGGTTCCTTGAGAGACTCCAGCGAGGCCCCTTTCTCCGTCTACCTGGCTTTGGTGGCTGGATGCTGATTCTGTTCCCAGGTGCCCCCGCTACCAGTGGGTAGGTCGGTAGGTTCCTGGGAGCTCAGTGATGGGCTTAACGACGTGGGCAGGCCCTTTAGGGTACGACACAGCAGCGCCGTATGTGAGTTCTCGCTGTCAGTGCGGCCTTTGATACTGAATGATAACCTGCGCTATCGGCGTCCCCAGCTGTTGACTTTAGAGCCTGCTGAAGCGCTTTACGTAAGCGCGGGGGGGGGGGTCATAAGACTGGCAAACACCAAGAAACAAGAGCGAAAAGTAAACCAACCAGTCGGCCAACCAACAAAAACCTAACCCGGAGACAGCAAGGGTAATAGCTGAACCGTTCACTTACTGAATTGCGTCAAGTAGACTTCCCAAGTCTCAGAGTCAGTTAAGACCAGGCGCACATACACCTCAAGGTGAGCAATGTTTGCAGAGTCCAGGCAACTTCTTTTGCACTGCTGAAAACCCAGGCCAGACAAGCCATCCAAAGAGAACCACTCCGCACATTTGGAAACGTTTTAAATTTGTAATTAAGTTCAGAAAACACTCATATAAATAGGTTGGATTAGGCTAAGCTTTTGTGCTTCAGCTTTCTATAAAAGGTTTAAAGCTTATTCAACTGAGCCTGCTTGGCGTTTGTCCTTGGTCTGTGTTTGCCAACAGGGGCTCTTTCAAACAATTTTATTCCCAGGATGCTCTTCTTTCACCTAATATTTTATTTGGTTCCCAATTCTTTGCCAGCCGTAGTACTTTATCTACATAAGTTTCCACCCAGGCTGGCGTTACTGCCAGTTGACTGGTTTGGCTGATACTTGGGTTGTGGTGGACTCCACTTTTGAGGTCTCCTCATGGAAGTACCGCGCTGTAAATCACTCCGCTATAGCTTTGTCAGCATGGTTGTGCTTTCACCAGTGCCACAGTGGGTAAAAAATCCAGCCTTAGTAAATACTTTTTCTCCGTCTCTTCATACATTAAGAGACTAAGAGGTGTCTGTTGCTCCCTGCTGCAGCTGCCGACTCCCGGCCACTGCTGTTTTCAATCCAACGTGCATTATCCAAGTTTTATTTAAATTTAACATCAAAATAGTCTCTCCCCAAGTAACCCACTTGGAATGTCTGCTTCTGAGGGAAGTCTACAATACGGGATCTGCAGCCTTGGTGACTCAGTGGGCAAAGCTCTGGTAAAAGCTGGAACTTGCTGAAAGATACACAGCAACCTGATCCAAGGCAGTACCTCTCGTGGCTCAGGGTTACAATGCAACAGAACCCCAAGTTTTAACTGAAAAGCGTCAAACGATGGAAAAGATTTAGGCTCACACTGACAGAACAATACTGTGCATGACTAGCCGTTATTCATTCCAAAATCACATCTAAAAGACAAAAATCTTAAGACTGCAGTGAGATAATCTAATATGAATACCCTTAAACTGTCCATCAAACCATGTGCATACGAATGACAATCAGATTTTTTTTTTTCTTTTTTTTTCCGAAAGACGCACACAGAAAGTAAAAATTACCTTTATCCATCAAGACCTGGGTTGAAGGGTCAGACATTTCCATCACAGTTAACGGCAACAGGAGCACCACAGAAACGGCTGAAACAACAACATAAAAATCAGTGTCAACGTAGAGTTTTCAAAAGTAATTTCTGGCATTATCTGGAAGGCACGGAGGGCAATAAAACCGAAGGAGGGCAGAAGGGAATTTCTCAGGAATACCAGAAACGTGGGGTGGAGAGAACCAGGGAGGAGAGCAAGCTGTTTTCTGCTGAACGTTGTATTTTCTGCTGGGAACCCATAGGGGTAGTTGTATGAGATCGGATATCTGGGGAGCTTTTGGGATGCATCCAAGAAACAGCTGCTCCTTGTGGCATGCTCCCATGAAGGCCCTCATTGAAATCCTGGCATTGTCAAAAGGCCCATTGATTTCAGCATGACAGCGTTTTACCCTCCGTGCCTGCTCAAGCATTTAAAAATCCCTTTTGCATAAAATGAGGAAAAAGTGCTGGAAACAAAAATAAAGCAGCATACCGATACTGTCTTTTTACAAATACTTGGCGTGATACACTCTGCTGTGGTAAAGCCATTGTTTTTCCACCCAACAGCATCAGGTTTATAGCACTGTAAAGAACTGCAGAATTTACTCCGCATAACCTCTTAGGCAACTACACCAAAATCAGCCTGCAGTCCAGAAATTGCCTGTAAACTGATGGCAAATAGGCAGCTCGGCACTGGATTTCGGGTGGCGCTTGCATAACCTTCCTCTGCAAGCAGTGCTTCCTCCTTGGTTCTTGGCTCACACGTGCTTGCTATTTCTGTCGCAGATCACGGTGAACATTCTGCAGCATCAGAATGTTTCAGATGTAAATGGCCATTAATTTGGAGAACAGATATATGTTATATGGTCCTAAAGGCCCCACAGGCTTTAGGGTATAAATGTCGTTTTCTGACTACTGGCTTCTGTTTTCCTGCTGTGAAGTGTTCTATAGCTTTACATAAAGATACCTTGTTTAAACATGAGACTAACAAGTACGTGTGTGTAATTTCTAATTGTGGGGTGCAGCACTAAATGCTCAAATGGCATCAAGTGAGGTGGGCATGAAATAGCCCGTGAAAGAATAATGCCATTTTTTTGTAGGAAAGTTGCAGTAAGAACGTAGCAGAAATTCTGCAGAATAAAAAAAGATTTGTAGAATGAGACTTCTGTAACGCACCTAATATTCGTTATAACTTTGGAATTCAACAGATATTAGGAATGAATATGCTGAAGGACGAACCGTACTGAACGTTCCAGGACCAGCATGCTTATCTGCGGTTACACTGAAATTTTGAATGTCTCAGAAAGGCGCGTTTAATTCAGAAGTGGAACAGCCGAACAAGAGATTTCTCAAATACAACTTTGTAGAGAAAACAACTTTGTTGTCAGCTTATGTTTAAGGCTGGCAGATTCTGATAACACTTTTCTTCTTCACAGAATTCAGGCTGAAACCACGGCTGTGTCTGGGCATAGAGTCCTTTAGCACTGGCTCCTCTTGGATAAGCAACACTGAAAACAGAATTCCAAAACCACGAGTAGTTGTAGGAAGTATTGGGTATGAGGCTGAACGCGAATACGACTAACAGAAAGGGTCTGTCAGGCTGGTTGTCTCAGAAGAACATGCAATTAGTATCGAATCTACTTCAACATTAGCCAACACCAAAATGAGCTCAACCTTGGCACAAAAATACAGAAAGAGATTTTACCACAGCCCCTCTCTGTAGTGGGTGCTGGTTTCCTTTAAGTAAATATAATTGGCTTAAAGCAGAAAATTGAGGATGTGCTCAGGTTATTTTGGAAAAGAGAACTGATGCATCTGGATGCTTCCTAAGAAGGGAAGAGGTTAAAAGAAAGACGAAGGGGGGTGAATATTTACTGGTATTATACTAGTGAACTTGCTGTCTATTGATGAAAAACCTCGAACTCCAAAAGGGACATCGCTAGTATTTCTTCAGCAAGGTCCTGAAGTGGAAATAATAACACTTCCTCGGTGGAAATGAAAACACTTAAAAAAGCATCATCATTGGCCAGCACATGGAGAAGTTTTCCCATTACTGTAAATGTGGTTTGTTACAGAGACAGCGTATCGTGCTGTTAAAATGTTGATTTGATTTTCAGTCCTTTCTGTGTTATTTTTAATGCTC